TCCCCCGTTGGTACTTGCTGGACCGGACTGGTACCTTCTGGACTTTCTCCAACATGGGCTTGCTTTAGTCACACCACTTGCCCACTTGCCTCTGCTGACTAGGCTAGGTGGACTGCCACCACTTGACCACTTGCCTCTGCTGAACACAGGTCAACTCCGAAAGGCCACTTCTAGAAGCCTCGAACTTGGCCTTTCGGTACTGTAGCAGCTACGACTTTGCCCCTTCAGGTAAGTAGCAGCCACGACCTTGACTCTTCAGGCATCCTACAGCTACGACTTCGGAACTGTCTAGACTCCTATTCTACAGGTCTACAGTTCGATTCCTTTCTACCCTGTGACCTACAAAACCCTGCCTACCACTGGCGGTCCTACAGGTCGCGGGTTCAAATCTATGGGTTGACATCCATACTGTACACAGGTAAGTTGGGGAACTAGGGATCGAGCCCTGGGATCTGTCTCAACTACCACGAATTGGTGAATACCGTTTCATCTTGAACCGCCCGTTTTAAAAGGCCCATCGCCGAAACCGGCACCTCCATGCACCGTATCCAAAAAAAAATTTGCTACATCGCATCCCTCCAATCATGGAGCTGTTGCTCCGACTTCCATGCACGAAATGTCAGCGTGTGAAGATGCCCATCCAACATGAGCTTTTCCCCCCCTTTACGTAGCATCCAGTCAGCGACCGGTTTGGACGAGGCTACATAAGTAGCCAGGTTCTTCCCTTCGTTTTGAAAGGCTCCTCTAATTGGTGCAGCCCCTGGAATTCCAGCAGCTACCCAACCATTTTCGTACATACGTACTAATCTGCTTTTGACATCAGGAGCGTCATCATTGAAAAAGATCGAGATCGCGTGGTCCCTCAACCAGTCTGCTTGTACTTGGTACACATCCCTTATCGAAATCTACTCCCGTTTCGACTATACCAGGAATAGAAAAATCGGGGAGTACTCCATCCTTAAAGCACGTTGTCAGAAGTTCCTTAATTCGTTGCTTGCCTTCTTCAGAACGTGGGTTAATTGGACGTGACCTCAAATCAGGGGGGGGTTCAGCCGAAGCCATGGTCAAATTTCTCCTGGCAACGGGAAATCCAAAATTAAATAACCAACAAATAAAAAACACACTCAAAAAAAATTAATAACGTATTTTATCCGAGGCATCTATGGGCTTATATGTCTGGTTTCAAATCAAAGTGAATTACCCTTCGCATCTTCCAGGTCTCCGCCTTCTCAGCCCTGAAGTATCGGTCAAGCCGCCCTGTGAAGGTAGCTGCGTTTGGACAGCCCTAAAGCCCTGAGGGCGATACCGGGCATCTTGAGAACAGCTGCGGTCTTCGCGTTATTCGCCTTCACTGTACATGTCTAGACACGGCTTCGCACCACTCCTTCCCCCGTTGAACGAGTCAACCTTACCTCCCTTCTGGACCTAGTCCAGCCTCTCTTCCAGGGAGAAAGCCTAGAAAATACAGAACACGAGGCATCTCCCCCTTCCTCAACACGAAGGTCGCCGCCGGTCCGTGCTCCAAGGCACGGACCGGTCTCACCCCTCGGCCAAGGCGTTGCTAGCGCAGCGCCGCCGCTAACGCATCTCTAACGCATCTCTAACGCATCTCTAACACAGCACCCTCGCTACTCTCTGGAACAGAGATTCAAGGTAAATGGCTGATGGAATGTGAACTTTAAATCAGATAATACAGATATCAATAATTTTCGAATTTAAATGTTTTTTTTGAAGTTTGAAGTTTTTTAAGTTTTAACCCTCACTTTTGCCTTCTGTTCTCTGATCGTCGATCAGCCGCAGGCCCTTCGACAGGACGCCCCCGATTCGAATGTCATTGGTTATGGCCCATCGCCATGTTCCACGCCAAGAGAGATCGGCACACAGCGTCTTGCTGTGCACAAGGTTAGCACACCGCATTTCATGATACTGGAAGTCAAGTAAATAAATTAATAAATAAATTAATAAATAAATAAATGAATAAATTAATAAATAAATTAATAAATAAATTAATAAATTAATAAATAAATTAATAAATAAATTAATAAATAAATTAATAATTTAAAATAAATGCATAAGTTAAAGTAATCAGATACTCCCTGCAATGATTATGGAATGTTTTTGCACGACGTATCCTTCGATGATTTGCTCAATTGGCCCGGGACCACATGCCCGGTCGGGCCAAAGAAACATTAAAAAAAAATGAAGTTTTAAAACATTTTTTATTTCAAATTTGGTAAAGAATTTGGCAAAGAACCTCTCATTTCAACACCAATGAGCGCACACAATCACACCACATGCATGAATGAGATCACACGAAGACCAGGTAGCGCAGCTTTAGAATTCCAACAAATTATCATATAAGGCTTATAAGCAATTAAGAGTTTGATGCTCCCCACCAATAGATGGAGCCTCTCCCCAGGTACTAGTGGTGTCTGCTCTTATCAGCACCACTAACACTGGCGAGTTTCAGTCCCAGGAGCTCAACAGCGCAAACCCAAGTATCCAGCACCTCCACTCAGGTATGTAACTCTTTTGAAGATCTTCTCTCTTCTCTCTCTCAGGTCTTCTCTGTGTCGACTACCTCTCTGTGTCTCCTCTCCCTACTCGATGCACTCACACACCTTCTACTAGTCGAGGACCAACTCTGAATACACCCACTGCAGACTCTACTAACCCCTCCGAAGTCTCTACTATTAACTACTAGCACTGGAGCAACTATGGCCGCCTTCTCCCTGCCAGCGCTCTCTCTCCCTCTCAGTGCAGCACTCTGGCTTCAGCAGTCTGCCCCTCACAATAGCGCACAAGTGCACCAGCATGCCACACCTCATGCGAATGAGCAATCTGCACCAGCATGCCACACCTCATGCGAATGAGCAATCTGCCGAATGAGGAGGCTGGCCAGTCCATATATTGTCTTGGACGGAGCTTCAGCTCGTGCCAGCCTCCGCTTCTTGGGGCTTGACTTGGTTCCGGTACCAGATCCCCACGGCCTGTCTGCTTAGGAATGTCAGGGCCTGCAACCTTCCGGATTTTCATTTGTGTGCCACTGCTTGGGCCTTTGAGTCACGACTTTTGGATTATGAGAATTTATGACACATGGTTTTGACTATGGACTGTGACTCCTGCCTCTGGGACATGAAACTTGCTTATGGTAGTGTCCTTTGCTCGTGGGATGTGACTTTCCAACATGATTTTTCATTATGAGACGTGATTTTGCCCCTAAGATGTGACTGTTTGCCGGGTGCCTGTTGATCTGGACTGCTAAGGTACCCGATTGTGACTTTTCTGAAACTGACTGACTCTGACTCAGCCTTTCTTGGCCAGGGCCAGCCTTTCTGAAACTCGAATTTGGGGTCTGAATCGTGAAAGGCCTTTCAAGTCCGATGTGGCCCTGAGGGAATAGTTGTTCAGTTTATTTTTCCGCATAGCATAATCTTTTCAGAATTTTTGGATGTCTTTTTTTTTTTTTTTTTTTTTTTGGCTGGGACCTTCGACGGTCCTTGCTTGGCCTGCAGCCCGGGCAAACAAGGTGACCCGGGCGGCCCGGCTTGTAGCCTACCAATTTAGTAGAAAACAAGTAAATAAATAAATAAATAAAAGAACTGTAATGAACCCTGTCTGGAAAATACTCAGCAGACGTCAAAGTACAAGTAGTATCAGATCTGCGCAAAGTCTCCAGTTAACACGAAGTGATATCTGATACAGTTTCTGGTTACCAAAAGACGAAGAGAGTGGAGGGAGGATAGACAAAGGAAGGAGAGGGTGGAAGAGATAATGTTTGACCACACAAGAGTAGCCCAACCAATTCCTACTCCTTCTCCGGGCTTCCTCTCCCTCCACGTCATCAATCAATAAACCGTAATCCGTCTGATAAGTCCTGATCACATAGAAGTGACACGTGGCACTATCCTCCCATGGAGACAATGAAGACAACCAGCAGCGTGCAATATCAACGTCAGCCTCAGGTAAGTATCCCGTCCCTCAATCGTCCACAGATCCCGATTTTCCTCCTCATGGCAACCAGTCACCTCATGTAGACAGTGTGGCCTATGCAACGTCAGCAATAGAGACAGGTGGCATGCGCCACGTCAACAATGAAGACAGGTGGCAGCGCCAAATCAGCAATGCAATGAAGTCAGACAAGTGGCACGTGCCACATCAGGAATGTACACAAGTGCCATGCGCTACGTCAGCAAGGTAGACAGGCGGCAGTGCCACATCAGCAATGTAGACAAGTGCCATGCGCCACGTCAGCAAGCTAGACAGGTGGCAGCACCACATCAGCAATGCCTGGCGCACAGAACAGAAAACGCCAGCATGCTGCCACAGTCCCGCGTCGTCATCCACAGTGCCTGCGCACAGCTAGCATCAAGTCAGCGTCGAGCCATCGTCGAGCCATCGTCAATGCCAGCGTCCAGTCAGAGTCCAGCCAGCGTCAAAGCTGCATAGCAAGACTGAATGTTTACCGCCCGGAGACCAGGCCCTTTGTAGTGTTTGACGAGGCTGTCTGGCCTCGGGTCCCCTTCCCACAATCGTACAGATTGACTCACAGCCGAGGGCCTGGATTGTGTACAGTTGCAGATTTCCCTTGGTCCTGATGCTGTCTGGGTACCTGCATACAAACAAGTGTGTGCGTCTGACCGGTGGCCTGGGCTGGGTACACTTTGACTTTGACGGTTGGGATCTCCGACAGTTGACTTTACTCAACTGTCACACGTTCATGCCCTAAATCTTTACGTGGGGTTCTTTTACCCCTTCGGCCTGGGTCTTAGTGCAGCCTAGTAACTTAAAGGCCCTCAGACAATCTACGAGACATACGGCATGGTTTATTATTGCAGAACCATCAACTCGGCGTATGTAAAGAACCTCTGATTGATTTAACAATGCCTTTGGAAATGTCATAGTTGTGCAATAAGTAAATAATTTAATAAGTACATAAATAAAAAAATGCAAGGAAGATGAGCATTAGCGAACTTCAGCAATCAAACAGCATCATACATATGAGCCCAGATAGTCTTGACCTCGAACCACAGCAGACTTGCATCACGAGATACACCAAATAAGAACACACCAAGAGTTCAAAATTGACAATGCTGTAGTCCCATCATCATCAACTACGAACTAGAGTTGATATCCTATTGGCGCTCGGCGCCCAGACTACAGGTGGCAGATCCTATCTAGCCTATACTACGAAGCAGAATGATGACATCAACAGCGTTCCCGAAGTACGAGCATATGGCGACCAATGTCGCCCGCTTCAGCACCAGGTATGTCTCTCGTAACACTCACAACCCCGATCCGCACCGCACAGATGCCACTAGCACCCCAAGGACCACCCTGCGCTTCACCTAGCATACAGCAGCGCAGCTTGGCTATGGCTGCGTGCTCCCTCCTACTCGCCCGTGAGAGCGTGAGTACCAGCCAGCCAGCGGATTGCGCAGCACCGCTCACGCAGCATGCAGCCAGCACCCGAATGCCGAATGAGGAGGCAGGCCCTTCCCTATATCGAAGTGGCCTGCCTGCGTCCAGTCCAGGAAGCTTCCGGTAGGTCCCGGTAGGCACAGGCCCAGTCACGAAGAGAGCAGGCCTTGGGCCTGAAGTGGTTGCATGCGCCCAACTGCTTTCGGCCTGTGTTTGGCCCGGTACCCCTATCCAGCCCAGGGCCTGCTTCACATTCATTTACACAGGCGGCCCAGGGCCTGGATTCAATCAACCAACTGGCGGAACGCAACTGTCTGAATTTCCCCAATGCGGGGTTCCCTGAAGAATGAGGCCCGAAGGGCCTGTCGTGCCTGCCTTCACTTAGGACGGCCGACCTTGTTGCAGATAGGGCCCCGTAGGGGATAAGCGGGCGTAGCCTCGCATGAAGTTCTTCAACAAGTAAATACTAAATAAATAAATAAATAAATAAAAGTCTATTTAAAGAAGTTTAAAGAACCATAAATTCCGTCAACTTCAAAGCACCATAGATGTGTATGCAGTACTATGCACATCTGTGTTTGGAAATTGCAACAATGCCCCTTAAAGTTTAAACCACCTGTACCTTGCCAAGCCATTTTTTTCCTGACACGGCCGTTGATGCGCTGCAATTTTTGTGGATCGGCCAGCGGGGGCGAAATGGCTGGCAGTGCCAGCCAAAAGGAGGCATTGCACCGGTCCTTTTTTTTTTTTTTTTGGTGTGTGCAGGGCGTTTCCAGGCTCGGCAAGGGAAGTGTCAAAGGGACTGGTCCCCTAAGTCCATGCATTTTGTCCCCTCAGAATGCAAGATGCAACGAATATGAGAAAGAGGGATATACAGAAAACCAAGTTGCGGTCCTTCGGGACATCCGTTAAAATTGGAACGATACAGAGAAGATTATCATGGCCCCTGCGCAAGGATGACATGCATAAATCGAGAAATGGCCCAAATTAAAAAAAAAAAAAAAAAAAAAAAAAAAAANTCTCTCTCTCTCTCTCTCTCTCTCTCTCTCTCTCTCTCTCTCTCTCTCTCTCTCTCTCTCTCTCTCTCTCTGCTTCTGTGTGTGTATATGTAGGTGCACGTTTGATGCATCTATCTGTATGTCTGTCTGTCTGTCTGGTCTCTCTCTCTCTCTCTCTCTCTCTCTCTCTCTCTCTCTCCTGTCTCTTATACACATCTAGATGTGTATAAGAGACAGGGTAATGCCAGCTCCTGATCCAAATTGCAAGGAATATGAGCAAGAGCGATATACAGAAAACCAAGTTGCAAAATCACACAGATGTCCAAGTAGTCATGTACGAGCAGAGAGTGCAAATGCACCGAGATTCCATCCAGATAAGAGCAATACAATGAGCTCACGAGCCAATGTCCAAGCCCTCAGGCCACACCAACACCGTAACCAATGTCGCTCCTGCTCTGTCTGGCGCCCAGCGCCCAGTCTACATTACTCGCCTATCCTTCTACACCAGCGTTCACGCAACAGCCTCACTTCGACTTTAAAGACCAGTGTACATGACGTCAACACCATAGCTGACCTCCTTCTGCACCAGGTATGTATCTCGTCTCTCCTCGTCGCCCCTGACTTCCCAGTGTGCATCCTCGACACCCAAAGACCACCATCGCCATCCAGTCCTGCGCCCAGCAACCTGGCTATGGCTTCCGTGCGCCCACTGCCCAGCAGTGCACCTCACACCTCAGCGCCTGTGCGCGCGACCCAGCCGGCAGCTTCATGCAGATAACGAAGTTGCAACGCAGCAACGTGGCCGCATTGCCTGCCTAGGCCAGAATGACCTGCCCAGCTATGCTCACTTTCCTATTTGGAAAGTGAGCTCAGCCTCTGCTGCCTCTGGGCCTGGCTGGGCGAGAGCATCCAGTAGCTTCCAGTCGGCCCTCAATGCCAGCGTGGCCCAGTTGCAGTTACGGGCCAGGGCCCTTTACAGTTGGGCACGTCCAGGCAGTCCATAGGCCTCCACACGTTCACTGTGATCTCATTGGCTCACGGCCACTTTGTGCGGACAATGCTGCAATCTCATTGGTCCGTGGCTGTTGTATGATGTGTCGGTCTCTGAAAGCGCACGCCCAGGGCCTTAACTGTACGGGGCCCTGGGCTCAACTGCCCGCGGAGGCTGCGACTTCCAGAAAGAGCCTGGAGAGGCTCACGTTGCTCTGTAACCAACTGGCATGCTGACCAACTGTCTGATACCCACACATGAAAAAAATGTCAAAACCATGCCTTCACTTAGGGCAGGCACAGGGCTTGCTGAGGGCCTCTGCCCAGAACATGTGCATGTCTGTTAAGGGCCCCGCGAGGGCTCATTCCGCACACATATACGACCCCTTTACGGTGATCACACTGGCCGGTACCCAGGCCTTGACACATATTGGCAGTCCCGCCTTCACTTAGGACGGACAAGGCCTTTCCAAGCACTGCCGAGGGGTCAAATCCTCGCAAAGAGCTAAAAGTCAATCTTTATTTGTATTTTATTTCTTTTTGTAATCAATTTTAAAAAATATGATGTCCTCTTTGTTAGTTTCTCAACTTCCATCACAGGATATGAAATGCTGAAAGTTAATCCATAATTTTATAATTTTTTTGGATTTTTTTTTCCCTGGGGGTATTTAATCAATGGCACACTGGCTACGGTTTGTGTATATCTGTCAGGATTTGAGCTCGGGATCATCGGTTTATAAACAATTACGGCTGAGTTACCGTCTTCCCCCCCCGAGTACCACGCACCCTCATCCTGACTGCATCAGACTGGAAAGTTAGCTTCTATACGTCCATGATCTCATCCAGGTGCGCTCTGTTTGGGGGAAGACGGTGGGTGTTTTTCCATTTGCCCAATCTCCTTTGTGAAAAGGCGTTGATCTTACGATACCCTAGAGTTCAAGCGGGTGTGATATTCTTGCGAGGCACTTGAATTCTCAGTACTGACAGATCTGCACTGGAATGGCTGTTTGTATCATCAATGCCGTGGATGAATTCCTTTGTGCAGGTCATCGTGGAAGAGAGTGACAATGGCTCTAAGGTCATTACGGTGAGTGAGCTTCTGTTCCCATTTCTTCCCCTCTCCCCCTGCCCTCCTCCACTATTTCTTCTTCTTCTTCTTCTTCTTCCTCCTCCTCCTCATCCACTACTCCTTCTCCCACATCTCCTGCTGCTCTTCATCTGCTCCTTGTCCTCGTCCTGCTGCTCCTGGTGTTATTGCGCTCCTTTTTCTTATTCCCCCTCCTCCTCCTCCGCCTCCTCTGCCGCCTCCTCCTCCTCCTCCTGCTGCTCCTCCTCCTCCTCCTGCTCCTCCTCCTCCTCCTCCTCTTCCTCCTCCTGCTGCTGTTGCTGCTGCTGCTGGTGTTATTTCGCTCCCACATCTCCTGCTGCTGCTGCTGCTGATGATGATCTTCCGGCTTTTCGTACTGCTCCTCCTAATGCATCTTTTTTATTTTGTCCAGTTCATTCTTTTGCATCCAGTGCCATCCACCTCCACACTGCAGCACGGCCATGACGAAATGAAGAACTCCCTGAGAAGAGAGGAATACATGAAGGAATGGTACACGAGGGGCTTGCATAAAGCAGTTTTTCAACGTTTTGCAAATGGATCTGCCCGTGTGCCTTCTCTCTCTCTCTCTCTCTCTCTCTCTCTCTCTCTCTCTCTCTCTCTCTTTTTTTTTTTTTTTTCTTTTTTTTTTTTTTTGCTGTGTTTGATCTCTTCTGCTGCCTGGTAGGTGTGGTGACTTAGCTTCTATGTTTATTTATTGGTTTTGGTGTGCTTGTTCTTTTTTTTTTTTTTTTCCCTCTAATAGTGTGCCTAAAAATTATGATTTATTCTTGTGTAAATTCTATGTTGTTTTTATTGATTATTTATTTCAGATATCTTCTCCACAAAGGGATTGGTTACGTTCAGATGTATCCATCACATTGCACAGGATGTCCTTGGAGGTACGTCACCATTACGAGTTCATTTAACTTTATTGAGATTTGTTCTGAATTTCTTTTTGTTTTTTCCTTAAAATAAAAGTCCAGCTGGTTGTAGAGGCTGGATGCTAGACGTATATGACAGCCAGAGATAATAGTAACAATCTAACCTACCAGACTGGGCCAGGACCACTTGCCCAGCCGGGCGAAAAAAAAATTGAAAAAGAAAAAATAATGAAATTAATTTTTATTTGAAAAATGATAAAGATTTTTTTTTTTTTTTTTTTTTTAATACCAAGGGCCCGGTGTCCCTCACATGAATACTGCAGCACACAGGGCTGAGAGAGGCACTCCCGGCCGGTCTCATCCCCAGCCACAGTTATCTCACCGCTTGAGACCCCTGCCCCCCGGCACCAGTAATCTCCGAGTTGGAAAGTCTACAAAGTCTACGACAAAACAAGAATGGAAAAAGAAAGGCATATCAATAGCTACAGGAAGTAAGGGAAGACGAGCTACAAAGGAGAACTATACTACAGAAGAATTAAAAGGTAACTATCCTATAACAGCAACCGTACAATGTGCCATTAACTAAACAGTTGATCACCAAATATTCACAGTATCTTTCAACCTTTCAACCTTTTGTGACAAAGGTCAAACCGGTTCTCAGGTGAAGAGGTTCCCCCCCTCCCTACCTCCTGCTCAGTCAATCCCCTGGATGCCAGGGCAATCAATGCTGGCAGGAATCTCTCATTATGGCCTTTTAATCTGTTTATGGGACGCTGGACCCGTTTTCCAGCAGGTGATGCTCCCCACCAATATTGGAGTCTCTCCCCGGGTGGTAGTGTTGTCTGCTCTTATCAGCAACACTATCACTGGCAGGGGAGAGTTAAAAAAAAAAAAAAAAAAAAAAAAAAAAAAATAGAGGTCAAGGACAATGGGAATACACCCCTATCATTGCTATCATCATTCATTAGCACTAAAAGAAATCACAAAAAGAAATCAGAAAACACCAAGGCAGGAGAGATCCCCCCCTGCAAGTTGACAGTACACAGTCCGTCAGAGGATCCCCATTTGGTACAAAACCATTTGAGCGCTTTAGCAGTATAACCTTTCTTCTGCACACGGAGCTCCCATTCTGCAGATATTGCCAGTTTAATGTTGTATTTAACTTCAGCTGTAATCAAAGGGGGGTTGTCTGTTCCCCCTTACGGACTGGCAAATTACGAAGATTCCAGAAAGTAGTAAGAATGGCAGCACTTAGCGTTTCTTCAGCATGGGAATAATGATCAGAAGGCCGAGTTCGTCTAAAAGCTGTCCCCAAAACCGCAAAGCGATCGTCCCATCTGGCCCGCACATCCGGGATCGGAACGGAGGCGTGGCGCCACCAATCCCAAAAGGGTTGGGTGAGGTCACACTGCAACACAAAATGTTGAAGTTCCTGAACATATTTTTACACAGCGGGGTAGCTTTGACAGTCCTGCGTGAGCACCAAGTAGCCACTGGCAAGGCCAAATGCATCATTAACCATAACAGACTAGCATGTTTCCAAACAGACTACCAAGTAGCCACTGGCAAGGCCAAATGCATCATTGACAGTCCTGGTAAAGTCCATAAGTTGCTTCCAAAAGCCCGGAATTCCTTGTGCCAAATCTTGGTAAAGAGTCTGCGATCCATCCAGTCCCCATTCACCTCCGTGCCACCGCCCAGCTTACATCCACCTGTCGCCTTACCATCTGGTAGCCCAGTTTTGCAGTATAATCTTGTAAGAAAACCAGTTTTTCCGGATTTCGAGGATGTTGCCATGCCCAGTCTCTGGGGTCCACCGGCAGATGTGAACACTGAGTCTGCAAACAGAAAGGTCGGTAACTGTTGTTCTGTTCAATCACACGCACCGGCTGCATCTGTTCCAATGGAGGGAGGGGTATCACTTCTTGTACACACCGAAGAGGTTCTCCGTATGAGAAGGCATCACCTTGAACTTCCCAACATGAGTAGGATAAAGATTTTCGATGAGACCTTGAGGCAAACGTTGTTCAGCTTATTTTTCTGCATAACATAATTGTTTTTCAGGTTTTTATCATTTTTCGGATTTTGTTTTTGTTTTTTTGCCTGGGACCAGTTTGGTCTTTGTGCGGCCCGGCCGCCCGGGAAAAGTAGGTGACCACTCCTTCCGCTATGACGGCCACCTTTAGGAGAGTATGAACTATTTCAATTTTGAAAACTTTCAGTCGGAGATGGATAAACACATACTCTCAGTCGGGGCCATGTGCTAATCCAGGACGTCCGGGATCCTTATGAGAGTATGAACTATTTTAATTTTGAAAACTAATTAAAAGAAAAACTAATGTGGAAAACACCTTGGCTACCAGCCGGGCCGCCCGGGTCACCCTATTTTCCCGGGCCGCCCGGCCGTGCAAGGACCAGGGAAGGTCCCAAAAAAAAAAAAAAAAAAAAAAAAAAAAAACCGAAAAAAACTATGGTATGCTGAAAAATAAACTGAACAAGTTTTGCCTCATGGTCACATCGAAATTCCTTACCAAATTTAAATGAAAAATATAAATTAAAAACTACTTTTTATTTTTTTATTTTTTTATTTCTTTTTGGCCCTGCCGGGCAAGTGGACCCGGGTCAGAAAATACGCAGCAACTCGCCGGAGATGAAAGAAGAACTGCTGTCTTCCACCGAACATAATGCACCCTCATTTTTCCCTCCTTTTTTTTCTAAATAAAGGACAGGTAATGGCTGGCTCAGGCTTCCAAAGGTAAGGAGGGGGAGCCAGGGAAGGGGGGGGGAGCAGCAGGGGGAGCCGGTGGAGGCGGTGGAGGCGGTGGAGGCTTATCTGATATATATGCAGTGAATTGCAGTGTTCTGCGGGCTATACACTACGTCGATCTTTTTTTGGCTGGTCTTGAGCTCTGCGGAACTTGATCCCGTGACCTGTACCGTGTTTGTGTGTTTCTTTGTATGTGTGAGCCTCACTGGGCTCGATCCCTACCGTCTTCACCCGTATAGAACGCCAGGTAATTACCGCTGTATCTGGACTGGAAGTTGGCCCAAATACAGGTATAATGACGGGGCGGGTGAAGTCGGTAGGTCTGAGTGTGAGAGTCTCTGTAGGGGTAGTCATAGAACAACTGGGCCTCTCTGTTTGGTCCTTTTCTTCCCTTCCCTTTGTCAATTTTAGGTCTAGATTCGGTCCTAGGCTATAGGCTCTCGTTGCTAGGCTGTAGGCTGTTGAGTGAGGGGAAACAGCAGTCTAGAAAAGTGTAGAGGGCAAGGACAAACGAGTTCTGTCTCGTCATTTTTTTTCCACGAAGTGCTGCTGGAGGCCACTCCCTGCTTGGTGCTGCCTTATCTTACCTACGGCACTATACTCATGCTGCGACGGCTATTAGCCATAGCTGGGGCTACCTAGCTCATGTTGAGATAGCCCTGGGCGTCAGGCCCTGTGCTCTGTGGGGCGCCTCCTCTTACCTGTGCTGTTGGGAATAGGCAGCGCTGCTGTCGAGGCCCTTCTTCGAATGTGAATGTGAATCGGCAGCCATCTTCTTCTTTTCTTCATCAAGCACTGTTCTTCTTCTTTTCTTCATCAAGCGCTGTTCTTCTTCTTCTTCGTCGTCCTGGGAGCTATGGTAATCCTGCCCTGTTGAGCGGACTCCTTTTTTTTTAGTAAATTTTTACGTTTTTTTTTTTTTTTTGTTTTTTTTTTGAAGGCAGCCAGTGCCATATGATTCAGGCACTCCGGCCTGCTTCATATGGCAACCGCTTTTGAATCACTCCGGCCGGAAAAGGTTGAGCCGGCAATTCATCTGCAGTGGGCATCGAGATTGGGCTGCTGAGTGGGCTGCTGAGTGCCATGTCGGCTTCAGGACGGTTGGTGGCCATTGGTGGGCTTGATAGGTTGGGCGCAGGCCTGCGCCATAGCTGTGAGCTCGAGGGTGGGAGGAAGAAGAAGTCTCCCTTCATCTTGGTTATTGGTGGACAAAATAATGTTTTTTGCACTATAAGTGTTACATACTTAATGAATATGGGCAGAACCAAAGATCAACCAATGTAGGATGAGCATATATGCAGCGGAAGTCTGATAAACGGACTGACTCACATAGACTGACTCACATAGATATCACTCCACACACATACAATCGTGAGATGGTGGGGTCTGGGCCAAGCATAGATGATGCCCAGACCTCGTACACACACACAGATGAGAGGTGGGAGGAGAGACGAAGGAGGTGGGAGATGTAGGTAGCACCAAATGTCACCGAGATAGAAATCAGTAGGTCACCGATATGGTAATCCAAAATGTCCTCGAACAAGATCAAAATGTCGCGGACAATAAGTCACTTATGTCGGAGATAACGAGGTGAGCCTAAGTACCACAGCCTCTTACCACCGAAGTCCAACTCTGATCTCTGTCCAACTAGTATAAGTCTCCAATCTGAAGAAGAAGAAGGAGAAGAAGAAGAAGAAGAAGATGAAGTCTGAAGAGAAGAAGAAGATGAAGAAGATGAAGTTTGAAGAGAAGAAGAAGAAGAAGAAGAAGAAGGGAGCCGAGGAGGAGAGAGAGAGAGAGGGGACTGGCGATGGGAGGGAGGAGAGAAGCCTCCAACTCCCGATACCTCATGCGGCTATGGCCGCCGATAACGCCCAGTCGCCGCTGCTGCTGCTCCGCTCGCTGTTGCTGCGCTAATGCTGCGCTGCGCCGCTCCTCACTGCTCCTGCGCTAAACTTAGCGCCAGCGCTGATTCGCGCCGTACCATACCGCACCGTAGCGTGCCGGTGGGTCGATAGCCTCAATGAGGCTGGACCGGTACTTTTGTACCGGTGGGGCAGAGGCCGTCCTCAATGCTGCGAGGCCTGGCTGTGCCCTGAACCGTCAAGATGGACGGTTCAGCCCCAACCGGCGGGCGGCAGCCTCAAGAGCGCCGCCAGGCCCAAACGGTAATGTCGTTTGGGCCTGCCCGTCGGGTCTGGTCCAAGGTAAGGCCTTTACGGCCTGTAGTACCCCCAAGGTCGGGCCTTTAGGCCCTACTGTGTCCCTCTAACCCTGAGTCGGGTCCGGTAGGACCCGTGTGGCGTCGAAGATGTAACAATAAGTTAAAATATCAGTTAGGAAAAGAATAAAATCTTTATTGTACTAATAAGTACTAGAATACTGGAATGAGAAATGAAGTTTATTAAACAATGAAAAAATTACTTCTTGCAATTCAATCACTGGTGGACTCGTTAGACAGACCCAGTAAAGATATCAGGTCACCACAATTGGACTTGCACTGAATCTTGACCAGGTTCGCAATATCTTCTTGGAATGTGGAACTGCACTGCAAGGACTAATGCGGTCCCCACCTTCCTTTTAATTAAAAAACAACAACAACAACAACAACAACAACAACAACAACATTTTGAGGTTGAACTGATTCAGGGCGTTGCCAGAGCACTCAGCCAATTTCGCACAACTAGAATGAATCTTCCTGAAAAACATGAAAGGATGAACTGCTTTGACTTTTGCATTTTGTGCATTTGGTGAGTGGGGCCACGAGGCCCTTGCACTGGATGACGACTGCCATCTTCCCCCGAAAACAATGCAGCCTCATCATGACTGTATTGGACCGGAAACATAGGTTGTATACATTCATGATCCGGGTGTCTTGTTGTCTTCAGTGGAAGACGGTGTAGATGGGACCCGGTCCCTGATGTGGTTAGCATTCCGGTCCGACGAGACAAAATAAAATGAAACAATAAATCCTTTTTATAAAATTGGAAAAAAAAAAAACGAAGTCAGTCAAGACTCAATTAGTCTGACCCAGTCGTGCATATTCGCTTGTTTGCGGTTTAAGGTTTGTTTTGCATTAAAAAAAAAAAGAAAAAAAAAAAAGAGGTTTTAAGTTTGTTTTGCCTTTGGATTACGATAAATAATGCATGCAGTTTGTCACAGCCAAACATACTGACTGACATCATGGTGTTTGGCGAATACAAAACAAATGCAGATCTGTAAAGCTCAAATCTCCACAATTCAGGACAGAATACGGGATGTGTTCCATGTCAGATGTTATGGGGAGGAGCTCTGTGCAGAAGACATCAAGCAGAACCTTGAGGTATTTATTATTTCTGCATCCTCCACCCTTTTTCACTGATAATGCACTGTGTTTTCTTTCTCTCTCTCTCTCTCTCTCTCTCTCTCTCTCTCTCTCTCTCTCTCTCTCTCTCTCTCTCTCTCTCTCTCTGTGCTTCTGTGTGTGTATATGTAGGTGGACTATGTAGGTGCACATTTGATGCACTCTATTGTATGTCTGTCGGTCTGTCCGTATGTCTGTCTGTCTGTCTGTCTGTCTGTCTGTCTGTCTGTCTCTCTCTCTCTCTCTCTCTCTCTCTCTCTCTCTCTCTCTCTCTCTCTC